ATCAAAATTATGATAAGTAAAGAAAACTAAAGACCAATATCCCTCATGAACACACAAAAATCCTTAAAAGAATATCAGAGAGCCGGGCTAGGTGGCTCAGCCTGTAATCCTGTGCCTTTGGGAGGCTGAGGTGAGTGGATTGCCTGAGCCCACGGGTTCGAGACCCGCCTGGGCAGCGAGACCTCATCTCTACAAAAAATCAGCTGGGCTTGGTGGCGCGTGTCTGTAATTCTGGCTACTCGGAAGGCTGAGGCGGGAGGATCGCCGGAGCCCAGCAGGTGAGGCTGCGGTGGCCGGGAGCGGCCACTGCACTCCAGTCTGGGCAACCGAGTGAGACTCCAACTCAAAAAAAAAAAAAAAAAAAAAAGATCAGAAAATAAAACCTCATTCTATATATGAAAATAATAATACACTGTGACCAAGTAGGGATTATCTGAAGAATGCAAAGTTAGTTTAACATTAAAAAAAAAAATCATAGTTCATATATTAAAGATATTCCTTTATTAAAGGAAAACTACATGATCATCTTGATATATCCAAAAAAGTTATTTGATGATATTCAATACCTATTTATGATAAAAACTCAGTGAACTAGGAGTAGAAAAAAACTTCCTCAATATGATAAAGGAAATCTACAAAAAACCACCATAGATAAATACTAATAGATGCATGGATAGATTTAGAAATGCTGATATGAGCCTACAATGTGTATATGTGTTTGTATACATTGTACACACACACATACATTTCCTAGTTTCCTAGATCTGGACACTAAGGAATGACATACCAATAGCAATGAGCATACCTCTGTCTAGATCCTGGTTTCAAAATACTATTCTCCACTGAAAAGAACTAGGGATCCTTGGCAAAAGGGTCGATTCAGGGGTTGGGTAGGGAAGATATAGAAAGAACCTGCAACACTCTGTCACAGAAGTAAGGAGGTACTATAGAATGATGGAACCATACAAAAAATACCAAGGTCAGCTAGAAGAGATTCCTACTGGCTCTTCTGGGACAATTTGAGCATCAAAGTTAATAACAATAACAACAATGTAATAAACCCACCAGATAAATAAAAATCTACAAATCCATACTGATATGAATTCAGAAATGGGTAAGTAAGCAAGTGGAGAAGGGAAATCTCCTCCTTATACAAGTGTGCCAACTACTAATATAGAAGAAATGGTAGAGTCAGAAAAATCTTCAGCGGATCCTAAAAGTAGTAGGTATACAATTGATAAGGAATAGGATACTTATATAAGAAATAGGTAAGTATTCTATCATAGAATACTTATCAATTTTTTGGGTAAGTATTCCATCAAGGTAAGTAACCTATCTATAGTATTTACTCACAAATTGCTTATTGATTACCAAAATAATCAATAATAATTCACAGTGGATAAACTTGTGGGCACCACTTTAATCAAGTGATCAAAGTCAATATCACTGGTATTGGTACAGACTGATTCCTGACATGATGCACTAAGGTGTATGACTTGACTTTAATCAAGACGAAACATTAGACAAAAAACAAAGGAGAAACATCCTACCAAATAACGAGCCTGTGCTCCTAAAAAATGTCAAGACAAAGAACGGAAAGTCTTCCAGATTAAAGAAAACTATAACAACAACAACAAAAAGGTTCCAAAGCTAGGCAGTTTTACCTCTAACATACTTTTAAATTTTTGAGAAATAGAATATTCCTAACACAAAGCGAATCCTTTCAAAACACTGGAAGAGATCGAAATCAGCATAATTCTAACACTAAAACCTAACAGCACATTGCTTGGGAATATGGCTGTAAAAATTCTAAATGGAAGCCTAGAAAGTCTAATTGAAAACTAGATTTCACAAAGGCTAAGCCAGATATAAACTATATGCTATGCAATCTTTCCTTTATCTACTGCCAGGGAAGGTTTATTACAGACATTCAAGTATGGTTTAATCGTGGTAAAACTCTATAACCACTTCAATAGATGCCAGAAAGATATGATAATGACCAACACCAACTATTAATTTAAACTTTAAGGAAACTAAGTATAAAAGAAAACATCAAAGGTGAATGTTCTTTATCATGTTAACAATAGCTAGTGTCAGAATTAATGGTAAAGTACATCAATAAAAATCACTATTATTATTCTTTAAAACTATTCTGAATAGTCAAGTCCATGTACAACATAGTATGAAAGATATAAAAGAGGTATAACTAGGCCAGGCGTGGTGGCTCATGCCCATAATCCCAACACTTTGGGAAGCTGAGGTGAGGGGATTGCCTAAGCCCGGAGGTTTGAGGCCAGCCTGTGCAACTTGGCAAGACCTTCTCTCCACAATAAATCAAAAAATTAGCTGGGTGTGGTCGTGTGCACCTGTAGTTTCAGCTACGTGGAAGGCTAAGGCAGAACAATCGATCACCTGAGCCCAACAGGTCAAGGCTGTGGTGGCCGTGAGTGTGCCACTGCACTCCAGCCTAGGTGACAGAGTGAGACTCCAACTCAAAAAAAAAAAAAAATGTATAACTATTAGAATAATTGAATGCAATTTTTAAGAAGTAAATTGCATACCTTATTATGTATTGAAACCCAAGACAGATAAAATGAAAAAATTTTAGATAAATAGTTTAGTAAATTGGTTATTTAAAATATAAATATATAAAAATGTAAAACTTTGCCACAAAATGAGAAATTAACACACCTAAATGGGGAAAAGAATAAATTACATTAACAGCAACAAAAATACCTAGACATACTCTTACAAAGAAACATCCAGAACCTACTGAAGAAGAACCAAATGTTAGTGAAAGGTATTATTAGGTTTTGAGTGAATATAAATAAATACTATACTCTTGAATAAGAATACTATAGGTGGTAAAGATGTTTGTTTTTTCCAAAATAATTTATGGACCTCACAAAAATCTCAATATAAGTCCCATTGGAATGTACTCTTAGAACCTGACAAAATAACCCTACAGATCAAATGGAAAAATAAGCTGGTGAGAAAACAGTCAAATTATAGCTTTATCTCACAGCATATTTAAACAAAAATTCCTAGATGATTTAAATATAGTTAAATATAAAACAAAAATTTAATGTAAAAAAATTAGAAAAAATAAAAGTGGCTAGTTAAATTTACTGTAAAAAGAAATCTTTCTCAGTGCAACATCTATGTAAAGGAAATGTTTATGTATAAATATTTACATAAAAACTAAAAAACATTTGCATGTAAAAAAAATCATAAACAAGCTGGGTGTGGCAGCTCACACCTGTAATCCCAGCGCTTTGGGGGGCGGAGGCAAGAGGATTGCCTGAGTCCAGGGGTTTGAGACCAGCCTGGACAACTTGGCAAGACCTGTCTCTACAATAAGTCAAACAAATAGCCAGGTGTGGTGGCACATGCCTGTAGTTACAGTTACTTGGAAGGCTGAGGTGGAAGGATTGCCTGAGCCCAACAGGTTGTGGCTGTGGTGGCCGTGAGTGTGCCACCATACTCCAGCCTGGGCAACAGAGTTGAGACCCCAACTTAAATAAATAAATAAAATTAAAGGCAAAGTACAAACCAAGAAAATAAGTTCACAATGAACAAGAGACACAAAAATTTATGTTCTTAAGTTAAATTATAGGATACTTTCAGTTAATAAGAAAAATACTGACACCCCAATAATTTATAAATAGACAATTCTCTATAAGCTAACAATTGATCATTAGTGAAAATTTGCATTTTTCACTACTAATTAGAAAAATGCAAATTAAAATAAAATCTTTTCCCACTTATTTGCAAAGATAACATTTAACACTAACAAGCTGGTACAGAATAAGAGAATTCCTCTTTCAGGTGGGATGTGGCAAATGCTTGCAAGTTCTTGGACTCACTGCTGAAAAGAATTTCAGAGTGGCCAGAGTAGTTTCAAAACAGAATGTGTTATGGAGAGAAAGAGAAAGGGAGGCATGCCAGAGAGCTGGCATGGGTGGGTGTCTTGAGAGAAAAACTGTCCTTTGCTTTTTGAAAGAAGCTAGATACAGCTACATAATAATTATCATGCTAAAGAGGTATCTGCTTCTGAGAGATTACCATCTCTCTACCTCTGATGAAGGGGTGGCCTTTCCCAGAACAGGCATTTTGCCTTGATAGCCTGATTATTATGTTAATCCATGAGGTAAAATGTGGTCTGCACCATTTCTACACCTTGATTGGCTTCCTTTGATGAGCTGAGGAGGTGGGGTGGGGACTGGCCAGTTCACATTCCAGCCTGCAGGGTGGTCTGGTCTGATGTGATAAGAAAAAATGTCTGAATGGTTCCTCTATTTTAAAACTGCTTACAAGAAATTTATCTATCTATGTTAACCTACACTGAATACCCTGCCTCAATCACACCTGCATTTGTTAAGAGTCCAAGAGTCTATAACCTTTCTATGAAATATATTCCCACAAGTATATATTTGAAAATCTTATTTTTGAACCACTAACCCTACATCTAAAAATCTATTCTAAGGAAGCAATAAAACCATAGACAAATATTTATTTATAATCTGATTCTTCAAATAATGAACACTTGCAAATGATCCAAATATCTGAACAGGGTCATGGTTATTAAATAATTAAACATCCAAATAATTGAAAATTATACTGCCACTGAAAAACATATTTATGAAAAATGCTTAGTAACATGGGAAAATGCTCACAAAATAATGATGTTTAAAAAAGTTTATAAAAGTACTATTATAATTCTTTTAGAAATAATTACTACAAGAAAATGCACCATATTATCTCTGGGTAATGAAGAAATGGGAGATAATTTTTGTTTATTCTTCTGTCTACTTTATGAACACATATTCATAAAAACAGAACCACATCATTGAACAAAAGATTTACCAAAAACTAAAGTCTTTTAAAAAGTAATAATTTATCCGGTAGTTTTGTTCTCCATTTTCTCTCAGTAGATTGAAAATTATATTGCTATAGCTTCTGTGTGCAAAGTTGCATAAAATAACAGGCATACACTCCAATATTGTCACAGGTCAGTTTATTGAGGAAATCGTGACACAATGTTAATTCTATTCACTTGATTACTTTTTATTATGTCAAAAGGGACTCCAAAGGTCACAGCCATGAAGTGATGCAATTACTTTCCCATATTTTGTTTAGGAACAAAAAAAAAAATCAGACACAAAGAAATGTTCAAGAGAATCTAAAAATTGTCGTCTTTTCCCCCCAACCCCCAAAAGGTGATGATGAAAAAGAAACATGTAAAAAGCAAGTATTTTTGCTAGATGTCATTTTCAAAGTTTCAAATATTTCCAATTTTTTTTTTGTTTTTTGCACCAAAAAAGGTATCAATACTTTTCATTCCACTCTTGTCAACTTTAGCCAAAGCCCTCTGAGCTGCAGTCAATTTGCTATTTTTCTGTTAACAAAAAAGAAAAATTGTTACAAATGTAACATTTATAAATCATACATGTAAATCAAACAAGACTGCATGTCTCAAGGTTCATTAGGGAAGGTAAGTGTCCCCCACTAATATGCTTCATAAAAGAATGAAAGAAAGTTCTGATTTCTATTCAGAGTTCAGACTTAACAGAATATGTTAAAAGAGACAGAAAACAAAACTGCTGCCTCCTAAGGAGTGGACTGTTAAAACCAATGGTTTACTTCTGGGGGAATAATTCTGGAGGGTGCATTAAGTACAATAACACAAACAATGGAACTGACACAGGCCGCAATTGTAAGAGGAAGGAATTACAGCCTTGTATTACCACATGATGAATAATTCACACCAATTTGCCATCTGACTTTCTTCATTAGTTCTATGGGAAACCAAGGACAACCCTATTACATTCAAAAGATGACCTGTACTGCAAAGCAACCCAGACCAGAAGGATAGATAGCTGCCTAATTTTTCCTCCAACAAAAAATACTTTCCAAAAAGTTGACTCCAAATAACTCTGCTCAGTACATTTCTATTTCTTTCTGGTCACTGTTTTCTTTTTTTCTGTGTCCGATAAACAAATAGCAGCTAATTTTACTTCAATGCCACACAACTTGTTTGCAAGAAGTATAAATGATGGGAATCAGCAAAGAAAAAAATTATCGTCTCTCTGGGAACTGTAAGGCAAAGTCCTTGCCAAGCATTTTTTAGGGGCATGGTATATAATTTCTACAATCTTGCTTCTCACGTTCTGTCACTTATAATTTAAATTTTGACAGGATGGTAAAAAGTGACAGTTTCTTTCAGATGAGTTACCCTGTGCATTTAAGACATCCTAGTCCAACTCTCTTCTCTTGGTGCTATGCCCAAGTGGATACAATAAGAAATAGCATTCCCACAGAAGGGTGGGACAGAAAGATTTCTCCCAGAGAAACTCACAATGTCCCTGTTTACATAAAGCATCAAGATAACTAGCTATTTAAGCAAATCTTAACTTGGATTATCCCGATAGCATATATTCAAATAAATTATATATAAATAATATAATTTGGGCCCAGTGTGATGGCTCATGCCTATAATCCCAGCACTTTGGACAGCGGAGGTGGGAGGATTGCTTGAGCCCAGGAATTTGAGCCTAGCCTGGCAAAATAGCAAGACCCTATCTCTACAAGAATAAAAAATAAAACAAAAATTAACCAGGTATGGTGGTACATGCCTGTAGTCCTAGCTACCGAGGCATTTGAGTCCACAAATTTGAGGCTGTAGTGAGCTATGATTGCACCACTGCACTCTAGCCTGGGTGACAGAGTCAGGAACCTGTCTCTAAAAATAAATAAATAAAATTTATAAAAAATGTTAAACTCTAAGGGGAGTAAGTTTTTAAAAATCAAAGTGGAAGTTACCTTGGAATAGGCAAAATCTTTTAAAGCATAAAAACAACAGAAAAAAATTCGATATTTAATTCTCAGAAAAATTTAACATTGTCAGAAAATCAAATAAAAAGGCTAAAAACATTTGTATCTATATGTCATGAAAAATGTTAATTGCCTTAATTTAGAACAAGCTTTTACAAATCAACAGAAAAACATTATTACCTCAACATAAAAACAGGCAAGGGGCATGAACAATTTGCAAAAATGCAAATGAGCAATAAGCATTTGAAAAACAATTAAAGTTTCTAGTTAAAGAAATACAGCCTAATTTGACAGGCAAAAATGTACAAAAATAAAAATAATATTCAATGCTGTTAAGAATGCAAGATAAATATTCATTGGCAATAATGTTTGGGAGTGCACATTTCTACATTTTTGGAAAACATGTTAGTTACAGATATTTCTATTATCATGAAAGAGTTCATGCTCTCTAAGCTCTTACTCTTAGTTCTATACTATAGTTTATTGAAATAATTAAAGATACAAATTGTAGATAAGAATGTCTATCACTTATTAAAACAAAAAAAATTCAGAACTAATTTGTAAGTTCAAAAATAGGGGAATGATTAAAAACTATATTCCATCTGATGAAATAAAGCAATACACATGATTGACTATCATGAAACAATGAACAATTTTTCAAAGAATCTTTAATAGCATGTGAACATGTTCACAATATAATGCTAAATAAAAAGAGCAGAATCAAAAACTATATAATACCAATTTAAAAAGCTACATATGTTATTTATAATGCATGTGTCAGATAAAACTCAGTAAGAAATGTTACCAAAATAATATTTGCCAGGTTGAATATTCAACGGTGGGGTTATTAAAATTTTTTTTTTTTTTGAATCAGGATCTAACTCTGTTGCCCAGGGTGGAGTACAGTGGTACAATCATGTCTCACCACAGCCTTGAATTTCTAGGCTCAGGACTATAGCGTTGTGCCACCACGCCCAGCTGATTTTTTGATTTTTTGCAGAGATAAGGTCTTGCTATATTACCTGGGCTGGTCTCAAACTCCTAGGCTCAAGCAAATCTCCCACCTCAGTCTCCCAAAGTGCTGGGATTACAGGTGTGAGCCACCATACCAAGTCAGTTATTAATAATTTTTATAATCATCATCCTAATGTCTAGGAAGCTTCTGGGCAATAAGGTTGACAAAAAAATTACTTGTAGAGACTCCTACCCTTCCCTCCCTGTCATTCCATGAATACATAGCAAAGTTAGGTACACTCTTGATAGTGTACTGCTTTGCTGTGAATTATAAAAAGTCTTAATTACTTATTTTCATTGTTATACACAATTTTGAATTAATTATTAAGTCACAGAAATGCAAGTTAATAAGTCTTCCTGGTCAAAATGACAGCTATAACCAAGCATCTTGTTGCGTATTCATGCAGCATCACAGAATACATATAACATGTACTAAACCTGAACACACATACCTTTTCAGTCTTCATATCTCTAGTATTAAACTTAGTGTAATCTTCTTTTGCTTCTACAGGCTCATCTGATAACTTTATTTTCTGCAACGTTAGAGCAGTGAATTGGTGTCAAATGTCACCTTGAAACTAACATAAACCCATTAAAAAACAACTCAACATGTGTAATTTGGACCCACACAGAGGCCGATGGAACAGCAAACCCATCAAAGGCCTTTTTATAAGTGCCTTCACATTTTGCCAATTATCTAAGAAATTAAGTCACATATCATCTTCCAAAAAGCAACCATGGTGATGGTGGGATGATTGGGTAAGTGTGGTACACAGCTCTTAGTGGGTTGGGCAATACTAAGCACACAATTTTTATGTGCCAGGTACAGTGGGCATCTAGGTGATTGCTGACACGATGAATGCGGTACTGACTGCGGGTTCTCAGGATCTCTATGCAATGGAAATCGACAGGAGGTCAAGCAAGTTTTCTCAGACAAGGCCTATTGGGGCCTATGCTGGAGCACAAGGAACACAGCACAGGAGAAAGAGTTATCCGGCTGGCTCCTAGAGGGTAGGTCCCTACGGTGTTTTAAGGAGGGTTACATGAATCATTCATGAGCTAAGCCAGCGTTATTACATGTGTGGGGTGGAATGTAGGGTGTGCAAGCATTTAGTGAGAAATCATGTTAATGTGATGCATATGTTTCATGGTCAAAAAATGGCAGATAAGCCCCTCCTGGGGCAGGGATTTTAGTAGTATAATGAGGTAAGAGGTCAGGATCAGTCATTCCCCTGGTTTTGTGTGTATGCGTGTGGTAGGGTCAACTATCTTGGGTAAGATTTATGGTGAAATGTTGCTTCTTTACATAGTGAAGCTGGGTGGTGGAGGATCTTTTGGTAAGCCAGTATGAAAAATATGTCTATGGGGCTGTCCCGTTCCTACTCTGTCTCAATTCAAGATATAGAAGTCAAAGATGAGACTTCTCTCTAAGGGAGTCAGGAGTCCCATCAGAATCTTTATTTCACTCGCCTCCTAGGCTGGTTTAACGTTCACTTGTGAATAAAGGGACAATATTATTCTATTATTACCATTTTTGTATAGCTGCATGTCCTTTCCTCCTTTCAATCCAATAATTATCTCACTTTATCCATGCATGCAAGAACAACCTGGCACAGCAAGCAGCCAGAGAGGGAAGCACAAAGGGCTGAATGAATAGCTTAGGATCACCTACTAGAGGGCCTGGGCCAAGATCTCAATTTTTATACAATACTCTTTCCATTAGGCCCCATGCTACCAAGTCAACCTTACTTAATATTTTCACCTTTCACATGAGCATTCTGCACCAATGAATGTGAGAATCTTGTCCAGGGTGAGACTGTGGACTTGATGATCACAAAATAAATCATTCCATGCTTACAATGCAAAAGGTGCAATAGCAGGGTAGAGGAGTGTTCTGTTTCACATGGAGAATTGACTGCATGGTGATGGCAACTTGAATGTTTACAATCTTCAAGCTCTTTTTGGAGACACCAGGTTGACAAGACCCAATATGTGTCTACTCTAGGAAATACAGACTTGTCCCCAGCTTCATTCTTCATGCCTCTGCTTTTGCCAAACAAAGAGCTGGTAGAATTGGTGCTAAAAGATGCCACAGCCCACATAACCCAAGGGAACAAAACAATGTATCTTTAAAAATTTGCTATAAAAAACAGAGGGGCATTCTGGAAATACACCACATAATGTGGGAAAACCGTATCTGGGCTACACAGCAACCTCTAGCAAACGAATGATCAAGAGAAAAAGACTAGTCTAGCATATATGAACCACTTATCAGCACAAAGTGAACCTATATATGCAACTTTCTTAAGACTACATATTTCTATTTAAATTAAGACAGCAAAGGGTGTTTAGGTGATGCATTTATTCCACAAAGATATTTTTAGCCAGGAGTAGAACTCACAGTTAATAATGCCAAAAGGGTATAATATTTTCAAAATGCAAAGGCTTGAAGTTATCAGGATGTTTATTTTCCTTCTCTGTGGCAAATGTTCCAAAAATAAATGTCATTATGAACACCTGGACATCATATACTTTGCTTCTTTTTAGAGACAGGGTCTTGCTATGTTGTCCTGCCTGGGGCAGCAGTGACTATTCACAGGGGCAATCATAGCTCACTGTAGCCTTGAACTCTTGAGTTTAAGAGGTCCTCCTGCTTCAAACTCCCAAGTACCTGAGACTACAGGTGTGTGTCACTATGCCTAGTGAAGCTTGCTTTTCACTGATAATTCAAATTTAAAAATGTTCATGACAAGAGTTTAAGATACCTCCATAAATACATATAATATTTCAGAAGAAGACTGACTTGTTCATGTGTCTTAAAATTTTACAGTCAAACAAGACATCAGTTATAAGTGCTTATATAAAAAAAGAAATGCTTGTGGCAGTCTCTGCACATAACTAGTTTTTATGTTGTTCCCAGCACACTGTTGAATATATTGGAAAAAACAGGATAGTAACATTTACTAAAATCTGTGTTATTTAAAAGACTGAATCACTATGGATTTGGAGGGTGGTTTCAGCAGAAAAGTAGCTCATAAAGACAGTAACAAAGGTTACGACTAAATGGATGCAGTTGTGGAAATAGAAGAACAAACAGAAGATACCACAGAAATTAATGTTAGGTCTGGCCTTATCATCCTGACAAAAGATTTTCAAGAAGGAACTTGGGAGCATCTCCAAACCCACTGGTTGCATTCAGCCTGCTTGCTGACAGTGATAAATCCAAAAGACTGACAGGGATGAGGGCTGGAAGCTGAGCGTCAACAAAGGCAGACATATGATAGTAAGGGAAAATAATATAAAACACATTAAGGATGATGGGCTCCATGCAATCCATTACAACATAGATACAAAGATACCTCATGGCTACTGGAATGTATTTCCTGAAAAGAATCAACTCTGACTGCAAAAATCAACCAAATCCTGGACACAGATAGGAAAGCTAGTAGAAGACATATTTAAGCAATGGTCCATCATCAAGTACAGTTTGTAACCTGTACCCTAAAATCTCAGGAAGACATGGAGAAGGGAAGACCTCAAAAAGCAACTAAAATAATCCAAGAGACAAGGGTTGAGGTCAGGAGGAGCAAGATGCCAAGATAAAAATCAGGGCTTGGCAAATGATGGTGAAGGGGCCAAATCCAGCTGGACGCCTATTTTTATAAACATGGTTTCATTGGAACACAGCCATGCTAATTCATTTACGTCTTGCTCTGGCTGTTACAACACTACAACAGCAGAGCTGAGTGGTTGAAACAGAGACCATCAGTTCATGGAGCCTAAAATATTTACAATCTGGCTTTAGAAGAGAAAGTTTGCTGACCCTTGATTTAAATTAAAATGATGAAATCACAAACAACTTAAACTTTGGAAATTAAAATAAGAAAGCAGAAAATAGGAACAAAGAAGAAAAAAACTTATGAAATCAAAGGTATCAAAGGCTGAAGCCTTCAAGAATGGATTTAGAACAATTCGTGAATGATCTCTAAGTTAGTAAGGAAGACGGATATTTGGGAGAAAAAAATATGTTAACAAACACTTTTAGAGAACCTATTCTCTTAATGACAGTTAGGCAATTATGTTTCTCTAGCTCAGTGAGAGCTACTATCCAAGATTAGCTACTGGGCGGGAAGAAGCATGGGTGTGGCCAGAAAGGTCCTTTTTAGATCTTACAGCAACTGATTTCTGTCCAGTGCTGCTCTCTAAGACAGCAAAAGATGCACCTCCTTTGACAACTTGTTGAACATGGCCCCAAGGTAACACTGATGCATTTTCAATTTTCAGACCTTTTAAAAAAAATCCAAGTAATGAATGTTTTTGGAGTCACCACTGTCTCCAAACAGGGCATGGAACAAAAAAATCCTGAGCATGTTGGTCACCTTGAAGATCAAGAAGTAAATGCAGAGAATTTAACATCCTCGACATATCCCTTTGACATTCCCAAGGCATCCATTACTGCTGATTGGAGAATGGCCTCATTGACAAGCTGCTGCACACATTTATTTCCCTGTCTTGGGAACATGCTTACTCGTCTGAGATGTGGCCTGGGCTGAGGGACACTGCAACTTGCAATCAGGTGTGGTTTTGGATTGGCTTCTCTATTTCTCTGGTTCTGGGAGATAAACACAAGCTGCAGAGAAGCTGTGGGTGGCAGTTTTGGAATGTCTGGAAGAGGCAAAGTTTTTCGACTAACAGATAAAGTATACACATAAATTTGTTGACCATTTTAAATTCAGAAAAAAAAAATGTGGTCATCCTTGCTCAAAAGATTCTTTGTGTTACAAAAATCATGCTCTGAGTACCTCTGTGCCAGTGAGAATTAGGTTTGGAAAAATTAGTGTTAGTTATATGTAGAGTATTTCTGGTGATTAATACAATTAATTAAGTTATCTTGCAAACTCAGGAAGATTTCCCTTTAATTATATATCTATAATTTTTTTTACAGGATTATCTATCTTTCTAAAACCAACTCTTCTTGGGTTTTCATGGCATGTTATTCACTATTCAGGTAAAATCTACAAAAATAAAAATACTGACAAAAAGCCTAGTACATTCTTTATTCCACGCAGCATCAGTAAGATAGATTTAGTATGCTTTAAAATATACTAGAACAAGCTGAACTCATGTGGTAAAAGTGTAATATTTTTCCAAGTCCCCCAAAGATATCTTAGTCACAGCTTCTTACCTTTGACGGAGGATTTGGCAATGAAGCTGAAGGCTCTGGAAGCCTAAGGAAGTTAAACATAAGAATCATAGTCATGGTTTTTCATAGACAAACAGAAAGACTGGGCCACCTTAAGACTTAATAAGTCCTTCTTTTCAACTTATAGCTTTACCTTCATTTGTCTTACTGTTTAATCACCTTGGTGTAAAGAATGAAAATTTTCTAAATGAAGGAGTCTTCATTTTGATACTTAATTCCTTGTATTGGAATTGCCTGAATTAAAAATATAATCCATTTGTTGAAATAGAGTTGTTTTTCTTTATATATTTGTGTTTTGGTGTTAAAGTATATATTCTTCTTAAATGATGATGATAACATATTTAAGAGTAAAAATTATTTTAACTGTTCACAAAAAGTCTCATAAACTTTACCTTTTCTTCCATTAAACAGATTCTCCCCAAATCTTCAACCAAATCTTAAGCATTTTAGTGGAAAGAAAGGAAGCTATACAAACTATGGAGTAAAAATAACCGTAAGGTCTCTAACAAAATAAGCAGTTTAAAAATTCAGGGTAATATTAAGCAGAAAGATATGATTATCAATTTGAAGCAGGCCTTCAATACAATTTAACTGTTGTAGAAGCCAATTCCCATTCATTGTTTTTTAAAGTAGGACTCAGAATTTGTAAAAACAGCAACTACATTATTAAAAAGTCGTATCTTAATGGGCTAGTGCATAGGTCCCCAACCCCCCCGGGTGGTCCACGGCCTGTTAGGAACCGAGCAACATAGTAGGAGATGAGCTGAGCTCTGCCTTCTGTCAGATCAGCTGTGGCTTTAGATTCTCATAGGAGCGTGAACTCTATTGTGAACTGTGCATGCAAGGGATCTAGGTTGGGCACTCCTTATGAAAATTCGATGCCTGATGATCCCCCACTCCCACCCCCATGGGAAACTGTCTTCCAAGAAACTGATCCCCGATGCCAAAAAGTTGGGGACCTCTGGGTTAGAGGATAAAAGGCTTTACAAGGACCAGAAACAGCTATCGAATCATCACACACAAAATCTTACAAAAAATTTAACAAAATGAAGCAACAATTTTGCTAAAATCTAGAAAGTAAACACATTTTTAAAACCTAAAAGGCCTTAATATAAAAGCTTTATAAAGGAAGGAGCACAAATCGAGTCATTCTTAAAGTCCTCTTCTGTCCCTCAAAGATATAGACTGTGTTTCATAATTACTTTAAGTACCAATTATTGGGCATAATAAAGGTACATGAGTGAACATGATAATAGTAAAATGATAATAGCAAAAATGCTCAAAACCTTCAAATGTAATTTTCAAAAATATTCTATATGCTATCTACTTTTTCCATCCTTCCTTCCTTTCTAGTAAAATGATCACAAGGAACCAAATTCATTAAGTATAACTGGAGATAAAGTTTTTACATAGTTTATCCTCTAAAATCAGACCAAGCTATAATTCCCACTCTAACATTCACTAGTTCCTGCACTCTGTATGAAGTCAGTTCATTCCATTAAAAATCACCTCCAGCCGGGCTCGGTGGCTCAGCCTGTAATCCCCCACTTTGGGAGGCTGAGGTGAGTGGATTGCCTGAGCCTGCGGGTTCGAGACCCGCCTGGGCAACTTGGTGAGACCTCATCTCTACAATAAATAAAAAAATCACCCGGGCGTGGTAGCGCATGCCTGTAATTCCGGCTACTCAGAAGGCTGAGGCAGAAGGATCGCCGGAGCCCAGCAGGTCGAGCCTGTGGTGGCTGGGAGCGGCCACTGCACTCCAGACTGGGTGACAGAGTGAGACTCCAACTAAAAAAAAAAAAAAAAAAAATCACCTCCAAACTACAGAGTATATGACATAACTCAAGAATAATCTCTTATCAGAAACAATGATTTGTTAAACCACAAAGCAACTCCAATGCTGGGGAAACCAAGAGAACACAAAGGTACTTGATTATGACAGAAAAGAATCAATACTTACTTTAAGTATTTAGCTAAGTCATCACTTAATTCCTTAGGAATGTAATCAGATATCAGACCATGGGCATAACGAATATAATCCTCTGAAAGAAGCAGAAAGAAGAGTAATAATTATGGTAGTTTTACAGTCAAATTGACCTAAGTTCAAATTCTGGCTCAATTTGGAGTTAGGAAACTCACTTAAGCTCTAGCCTCAGCTTCCTAATTTGTAAAATGGGGACAGTAATATCTATCTGTCACACTAGTAGGGTGATATGATAGATGAGATATGATATAGGATGGTGTAAAAGATATGATAATACAGGTATAACATGGTAGATGCCCCCTAAAGTATAGTAAAAACAAAAATTCAAGGCTATTTTCTTAGTTGAGACCATTGCATAGAAATAAAGTTAAAAAATCAGCTGTAACAATATGAAATATTCATGTCTTTTTAAAAAGTCTACTCCTACTTCTAGGTCTGCTACAATACAGAATAAATCTAATTATTGAACAATAATGAGTGTACTCATTAAAGAGAAATAAAATATGATGTCTCTACTACTAGGTATTTTCTTTATAAGAACCCTCAACATTATATGCACTATATATGTGTGTATGTGTGTGTTAGAAACTAATACATGCCTTAACTAATAAAATGCCTTTAAAAAAAACCCATGAAATTCAGCAGAATATAAATAATTAATTCTAAAGCATCTGGATCTTCAATACTAAAATGTAGTTCTGGCATCAATTAAAAATATAGTTACATAAGACAATATGCTTCAAAATCCTACTCCTGAACTCAGTATTTTATGTAGAATATGAGGGGATAATCAAACTTAATCATAAGATGGAATAACCACACTGGGATATAAACCACCCAAAGCAGACCCCCGATTTGCTGCTGCGACATTCATTTTCTTTTTTTCCTTTCTCTTCTGCCTTCAAGTCAAGGTAACAATTTGCCTCAGTATTACTTAGAAAATGACTGCCGTCTGGTGACTATTTGATCTCAAAAAGTCTTCAGTGAGAAATTTTCACTGTCGATGTAGAACTGAAAGCTATCATTTGACCTGTCTTAAAATGTGCTCATGGTCTGGGATAGTAATTATCCAATGAGACATGACTAGATAAAGAAAACTATATTAGGAAAGTCAACATATAGTTCATCTGCTTCTTCTGGTACCACACCAAGATAGAGATCTAAAAATAAAATAGTGTAAAGTATGTACAAACTTACTTTGTGGCTGGGACACTAAATGGCAATGCAGCCAAGCCCAGAACCTTCTACATGGAGTACTGGTAGAAGCACTGGACTCAGAACAGAAGACCTTGCTTACTAGCTAGAATAAGCCATCTATCTCTCTGAGGCCACAATTTTCCATTTTTAAAACCAGAGGCTCTATCTAAATAGCCTCTAATATCCCTCTTCCTACTTAACCCCCCCAAAAAAACTATGGTCTTATTTATTCATCCATGTGTCCATCCGTCTGTCCGTCCGTCCATCCATCCATCCATCCATCCATCCATCCATGCATCCCATCCATCCATCCTTCCTTCCTTCCTTCCTTCCTTCCTTCCATCCATCCATCCATCCATCCATCCATCCATCCATCCATCCATCCATCCATCCATCCATCTATCCATCCATTCACCCATCCAATTCAATGCCTCCTCTTCTTTTGTTAAAGCCAGTTAAAGACCCTGGTAAACTTAGTATGGCAAGGGTGCTGCCCACTGCTCCCAGAATGGCAGCAGCCAACTATCTGTATGTGCAACGTGTTGTTAGGTAAATTTATGTAATTCAAAGATTGCCTGAATTATCATCAATTACAGGCCACTATTCCTAGTTTTTATCTTTTTAATGACTAAAACCAGATGTTTTGACATTATATACCCAGAAATATTTGCTGAATGAATAATTTAAGTATCAATGAGTGAAAGAAGTAATCTATAGTAGAAATCTTTCTTCTGAAATAAGAGGATAAAATAAAAAATCTTCTTCCTGTCACAAAATCTATGAGTCATTGGTGAGAATATAAGCCTTCTGTGACATGAAGATTTTTAAACCCTAAGATAAGCATTTACATATAAGAAATTTGCTCCAGATAAAAATCACTTTTGATGAAACGATTTACTTACCTTCCTTGTCACTAGAAGCTTGGTCAGCAGAGAAAAATGCAGTTGCCTGGACCCGGGCACCAACATTTACACTGTTGGTTTTTAATGCTGCCATAGTTTGATTAACCTGTGATTAATTGAGGGGACAAGTGGTATATTTTTAACTTAACTTTAGAAATCCATGACTTTCCAGATGTCTCTCAATTCATTTAAGATCTGGGAAGAAGTATCTGAGAACCTAGAAATATCTTCACCAGATACCATAAGATGAGAGATGGCTGCTCATTTGGAGAAAGATTGTGTGGCAGCAATATTCCTGGATGATCTTAACACATGGACTTCTTCAGGCCTACACACTATGACAGGCAACATACTGTGGTAACTGAGAGCGCTGACACTGAGAAAGAGACACACTTCCTTTAAGCCTGAATATTGCCTGCACTGGGTCCCCAGCCTGGCTGTGTGTGGGCAGCGTCACCCTCAGAGTACTTGCAGGACTGACACAGTCAATAAGTAGCATGTTGCTTGGAAGGCTCAAATCTACACCAACAAACAACAAGAGATTATTTCATTCAATAGTAGGATAAGGGAGAAATAAGGATGTGAGTCATAAGAAAATATCAAGCTAACTCCAGAGATACATGAGTTAAGGATAAAAAGACAAAGATTTCTTCTCATACTTGGGTATGACATGGTCTTTGGATTCAGACTTACTGCCTTCGCTAAAGACTTTTTTTAAAAAAGGAGTGCTGAATTTTTTGCTTTTACCACATGGCACTAGAGAGGCACTATACCTTTTTTTCCAGCCATTTTAATGTCTTCTCTTTGCTGTACTTGTAATATTTCTTGTTGTCTATTTCTGGATTAAATTAAAAGAAAAAAAAAGACTCAGCACAATGAATTAAACAAACAAAAAACTTAAAGTTATATCATATACAAGTTAACAATTTAAAAGTATTTCACGGCCGGGTGCAGTGGCTCAAGCCTGTAATCCCAGCACTTCAAGAGGCCGAGGCTAGAGGATTGCCTGAGTCCAGGGGTTCGAGACCAGCCTGGGCAACTTGGTGAGATCTTGTCTCTATAATAAATAAAAAAGCCAGGTGTGGTAGTGCACACCTGTAGTTCTGGCTACTTGGGAGGCTGCAGGGGAAGGATCACCTGAGCCCAGCCGGTCAACACTGGGCCACTGCACTCCAGCCTGGGCGACAAAGTGAGACTCTGATTTTAAAAAAATGTATTTCATAATAGTTTACCCTTGGAAAAGTCAGTTTGTAAATCTGAACGCATATTCAAGACATTAAAAAAAAAAAAAAGTCCCAATAGAGATTTTGGGTACCTCAGGAGTCCTGCAAACCACTAAATGAGTGGGTATTTAAGAAAACCTTCAAATTATTAAAAAAAAAAAAACCTCTGTAGAAAAGCTAATTTTTCAAACTCAGCAAACTAGCTTGCTAAACAGTCTTAATTTCTTGAATACTTTTAAGCTCACTCAGATGTTTTCAATAAAGATTTCTTTTCTAAAATAAAAGTAAAAATCCCAAGAAAGAAAATTGAACTGAAAGGTAGGTGCCTTTGAAGTTCACAGCATACATTCAGCAAAAAATAAAAAAGAAAAAAAGAAATCTTGTTAACCACTCAGTACTGCCCTGGGGGATTAGTAGAACATAAAAGAAAATATATTATCTATCTTTTAATGTACTACCAATACCATCATGGCTACTTCAGAAGGACTTAGGTTTATGGTAGCTCAATCTGGTCTTTTATAGGGATAAAGTTTCATCTCTTACAAATGATACCTTCTTCCCTAACAATCCACCCTGCCTTATATACCATGTCAGTAAACCATGGTTTCCTCTGCAACACTTTTCACTCATGGGGTTTCTCCTTTCTGTGGAATTAGCAAGGGCAGCATTTTTATCCGCTTCCTTCCTCCAAGCAGGAGCTAGCCTCATGGCCACTGGAAGCCCTACAACTAGATGTGGCTAGAGGCAGGCTCACCACATGTAAGTGAAGGGCATGAGACTTCCTCTCTCCCCTCCACAGCATGGTGAGAAATAGAAACTGCTTATTCAGGGGTAATTGTCTGCAGTCCGTTAAATGGATTGTATGGGAGAGGGACTGGGAGGTCCCTGGCCTTAGTTCCTGTGCATTTTCTGCCTGTTTCAGCATCTGGTTGTCAACTGTGGGCGAGATGAGGCAGGATGGAGTGGGTGTTGGACCTCTGTACCCATCTCCTCAGGACGCATCTCTGCAGTGACAAAAATGAGGAACAGTTGCAGATGACAATCTATCAGAAGTATGGGAATTCCAGGGGGCAATATCTGCTGTCCTGGGGCGAAGACTATCTGGGCAAACAGTCTACTATAAACCAAAGCTGAGGAGACTGAACTTGGTTTCCTTGGAGCTGATGCCCCACTGTATGTACAAATCAGGAGAATTTTAAGAGCATACAGCAGTCACTCAATAAATGTATGCTGTTGAGTGGCTTTTAATTCTGATTACTGCCTGAGACCAAAAAAAAAAAAAACTCCAAAAAAAGTTCAGTGCCCATCTCTCCTAAGAAATCCTACCTTGACTCTGCTGCTCTGCTGTTTACTTCTCTCCTGCCTCTATCTTCCAATTTCCTGAAACAACCACAATCTGCCACAGTTTTCCCTCCTGTCTCTACACGCTGAGCCCATTGGGCAGGCCTCTCCTCTCCCTCTGTGAAGTGCTAAGAGGTGGAAGAACACAGACGGAGCCATACTACCTGAGCTCATGCACCCCAGCACATACTGTCCCCTTGGAAGCCACTTGAAACCTGTTTCCTCATGTGTAGAGTGAGGGTTTTTTTTCACTGAGCTAGCTTAAGCATGAAATGAGATAATCCATACAAATCCTGTAGCACAACAGCTGCTACTTAGTAAATACTTAATGTTAGCTCAACAATGATGAAAATGATTATTTGTTAAAAACAGCATCAGAGACTAATGTTTATTCAGGCCTGTGCTAAAGTTCATTATATTTATTTGCTCACTGAATGGTCAGAATGAATCTTAGAATCAGGTGAAACCAGTATTAGAAGACGGGGACTGAGGGACATAAGCAAATTGTCCAAAGTCACAGAGGAATGAGGCAGGAGCTTGGGATTCCCATCCACGCTGACTTCAAAGCTGTGGGTCTGATGTTCACTGCACCAAGACCAATGGGGTCTACACCCTCCTCAGTACTTCTGACCACCTTGCTCTCTGAAGCAACAATCTCTCCTCCAAGGCATCTGCAAAACTGTTTTCTTTCAGTTTCTCTATGTCTCCAACGACTTCTCCTCACTTTTCTGACTCTGCTTCACCCTTTTCCAAGGCCAACTGTCCTTTACTCCAGGGTGACCTTGTATCAGCTCAAACCAACCTGGAAATCCAAAGCCCTGAGCTAAGGCTCCATGTGTCTAAATCCAGATTTTTCATCTCCTACCCACACCATTCTCCTGGCTCCCCAGACTTGAGCCTGGGGGGCCAGTGCTGACTACCACCTTGCTTCCCAAATTCCATCTCTCCATCTCATGGGAGAGGGAATATGGAGAGAAAAGGAGCCAACATCATCTTGAGGGAGGGTGGAGGTTAAAATAAAATACTGTGTAAGAAATCAGCAGGCACTGCTTCCAGAGCTGGATCAGAACTACTTCATGTTTTAAAAAATCAACTTTAGTTAGGTATAATGTTCATATAATTAACACACCCATTTTAAGGGTACAATTTGAGGAGCTTGGAGTCATGTATGCAGTTATGTAGCCAGCACCCCCTACCAAAAGTTCCCTGGAACCCTAATGCAGTCAATTCTTGCACCCCTACCCAGACCGCAGGCCACTGAGTCTTTGTAGGTTAGGTCTTACTTTATTCTAGAACTTCCTAGGAATAAAACAATACAGTATGCACTTTTTTGTGTTTATCTTCTTTTGCTCAACATTACTTCTGTGGAATTAATCCATTTTGTTGCAGCTAGTAATAGTTCCTTCCTTTGTATTCTGGATATGGATATACTGCATTTGTTTACCTACCGACCTGCTGAAGGACATTTAAGTTGTTTCTAGTTTTTGGCTATTTTTAAAAGGTTGCTATAAAACAAAAAAGCTGCTCTGAACGTTCTTGCACAAGTCTTTGGATGGACGTATGCATCCTGAAGCTTGGGTAGATAACTAAGGAGTAAAATTCTTGAGTCCTAAGTTATTGTCAAGTAGCTATACTATTTTATACTTCTATCAGCCAGGAGGTGAGTTCCAATTATTCCACAATTCACAGTCTTCTTTGTTTCTTAATGGTGTCTTTCAAAAACAGAAAATAATAATTTTGGTGAAATGCAATTTGTAGTTTTTTTATGGTTAGTGAGTTCTGGGTCCTATGAAATCTTTATTCCTCAAGGTAACAAAGATTTTGTCCTAGGCTTTCTTCCAGAAATTTGATGGTTTTCATTTTTTAATTAATTCAGTGATCCAGTTTGAGTTCATTTTTCTGTGAGTGTGAGATGAGGGTGAATTTTCATTGTTTTTCATCTAGACATCTAACTTTTCCATTAACATGTGTTGAAACGACTATCCTTTTTCCCAATGAATTATCATGAAGCCTTTGAAGAAAAGCAATTGACTATCCTAAGTGTGGATCCACTTCTGGATTCTCTAGTCCACTCCATTTATCTATATGTTATGTAAGCTTCTACTAATATCACAGTTTCTTGATTGTGTAAATCTCCAGCTCAGTTCTTCTTTTTCAAAATTGTTTTAATTATTCTTCTTTTTTCTTTTTTTTTTTTTTTTGAGTTTGAGTCTCACTCTGTCGCCCAGACTGGAGTGCAGT